GTGGCGGGGCCGTGGGGGGGCCGTGGCGGGGCCGTGGCGGGGCCGTGGCGGGGCCGTGGCGGGGCCGTGGCGGGGCCGTGGGGGGGCCGTGGCGGGGCCGTGGCGGGGCCGTGGCGGGGCCGTGGCGGGGCCGTGGCGGGGCCGTGGCGGGGCCGTGGCGGGGCCGTGGCGGGGCCGTGGCGGGGCCTTGGCGGGGCCATATCTCTGGGGACTCTACACTGTCGGCCCCGTGGCTTTGCAAATGAATTTTGCCTCATCAAGATGGACCGCTTTTGTCTGGTAATCCTCCTCCCCGGCCGCGGCTTGGAGGTCAGCGTGTCGTCCGGGACGGGCGGCGTCGGGTGGCGTCGCCGTGGCCACGTGGTGTGACTCCTTTTACCGGTAATCGATGCACTGCTCGGTTTTAGGACTCTCTCCCTCTCTCACTCACTCTCAGTGCGCTCCGTCCGGTGCGTGTCGACCACATCGACCAGCTCCAGCTGGCTGACGTGGCTTCGACGCTCTGTCTCTCTCGCACCCCAACGGGCCGCCGAACGAGTGCGAGAGAGACGGAGGGCCGAAGCCCTTCGGAATCGGCGTGGCGGCGATGGAGCGGCGATAAGGCCGCAATGACCCGCTGTCGGCCAGCTGGGCGCGGCGCGGCGCGGCGATGTCGTCCGGATGTCACGTGACGCGCCCCGGACAGGTGTTGTTGGCGGCACGCAGCGTGGCGGGGCGGGGCGGAGCGGGGTGCTCGGTGGCGAAGGGTCACGCCACGGCGGTGCCGCTGTGCCGGTGCGGGCCCTGGTGGATCGTTCGGACCGGATCCGGACGGACGCGTTGCGTCCAAAATGTTTCAAATAGGACCGTTTGCGGACTGCGTCCCTGCCACGTCCATCGGCGTCCATAAAGGTCCATAAAGGTCCTAAAAGGGTCCGTGTGGGTCGGGTGGCGTCCGTGGGGCGTCCGCACTGGGTCCTTAAGGGTCGGTGTGGCGTCCACACTGCGTCTTTTGGGCCTGTGAGGCGTCCGTACTGCGTCCGTTGGAACCCGTGGAGCGTCCGTACTGCGTCCGTTGAAACCCGTGGAGCGTCCGTACTGCGTCCGTCGAAACCCGTGGAGCGTCCGTACTGCGTCCTTTGGGGGTCCGTAGAGCGTCCGTGATGCGTCCGTTGGGGCCCGGGGGTTGGGCGTCCATCCTTCGTCCACAAAGGTCCAGCCGGGGTCCGAAGGGGTTCTTATGGACGCTTATGGACGCCAACGGACTTACTTCAGACTTTGTATGCATGGACCCACAAGGACGCACTTCGGACCCTGGTTGCGACCACTCGTTGGAAAGGTCTTACCAAGACCCGTTCAAATCTGCAATAAAAAAAATTGTTGGTCACCCCCCTTTTCTCCGGATAGAGTTTAAAAAAACTGTATCTTAAAAAAAGGGGGGGTGACCAAAAATTTTTTTTTATTGCAGATTTGAACGGGTCTTGGTAAGACCTTTCCAACGAGTGGTCGCAACCAGGGTCCGAAGTGCGTCCTGTGGGTCCATGCATACAAAATCTGAAGTAAGTCCGTTGGCGTCCATAACGTCCATAAGAACCCCTTCGGACCCTGGCTGGCCTTTGTGGACGAAGGATGGACGCCAACCCCCGGGCCCCAAAGGACGCATCACGGACGCTCTACGGACCCCCAAAGGACGCAGTACGGACGCTCCACGGGTTTCGACGGACGCAGTACGGACGCTCCACGGGTTTCAACGGACGCAGTACGGACGCTCCAGGGGTTTTAACGGACGCAGTACGGACGCCCACGGGTTTCAAAGGACGCAGTCGGACCTCCAGGGGTTTTAAAGGACCAGTACGGACGCTCCACGGGTTTCAACGGACGCAACGGACGGACGCAGTACGGACGCCTCACAGGCCCAAACAGACGCATTGTGGACGCCACACCGACCCTTAAGGACCCAGTGCGGACGCCCCACGGACGCCACCCGACCCACACGGACCCTTTTAGGGCCTTTATGGACCTTTATGGACGCCGAAAGGGCGTGGCAGGGACGCAGTCCGCAAACGGTCCTATTTGAAACATTTTGGACGCCACACGGACGCGCGCGTCCGTCCGGATCCGGTCCGAACGATCCACCAGGGGGGTGGTCTTCGGCGCGGCAACGTCCTTGGTGCTCCGCGACGCCGCGGCGCCCTCCGCCTCTTAGCGACCGTAAAGCGTTTTACCACGCCGCTTGGGCGCGAATATTTACGCCCCTTTCGGCCTTTGGACCGAATTTTTGTTGCGCCGCGAGGCGTGTCTCCGCGCCTACCTGCGCGGCGTGGCGGCCCTTGGCGGCCCCGGGGGGGGAAGCCGCCACTGGCTTTACGGCCGAGCCCTGCCCGGTGACGCGGTGGCCGCGGATGCCGGCCGGAGGGGACGCCGTCGACAAGTGTCGGAGCCTGTTTGGTGCCATGCTTCACGCTGGGCCCCCGCCTCACCCCGCCCCGCCCCGACCAGATGACGAGGCCTCCACGCCTCGCCATTTCATTAGTGCGGTAAGCGAGCTCTAGCCGAGCTGATGAGGTGGCGGGGCGTGGCGGCGCGCTGCTGTCTTGAAATCAAGTTATGGCGCGGTGCCGCCCCGCCCCGCTCCGCCCTTGCCCCCGGCGGCGCCCGGCCCGGGCGGCCTCACCTGCCTGGCGGTGCCTGCAGGTCGCCGCCCGGCCCTTGTCGCGCACACAATGAGCGAGATTGGCCGTCCGTAATGGCTGAGTATGAGAAATCTAGCGCTCGGCGAAAACAATCTCCCCGGCCCGGCCAGCCACTCCCCGCCTCGCCCGCCTCGTCCGCCCGGCTCAGCCCGTCGTCGTCTCTGCCGAAAATCCCCTCGGCAAACAAGGACGTGTTTTTCCGGCGCGGAGTGGCGCGCGCTGCCCCGCCGCGACGCCACGGCCGTGGAATGCCGATTCGCACACTTTATTGAATCGGGCGTGGCGCTGTCAGTCGCCCGGATCGACGTATCATATTGGGCAGGTTAAGTTGGCGACGCCGCGCGGCGCCTCGCTCTGCCCCGCCTTGCCACGCCCCGCCACGCCGCGTCGCGAGGCTGCGGTGTCACTCGCTTTGACAGCTGATGCGCCCTCCCGGGACTCAACAACGTTATCAGTGGCGCCGCGCGCCAACGAACGGAGCGAGCAGGAGACTGATTCCGAGAGTCGTTTTCGCCGCTCTGTCTCGCGACCTTTACGAGACGCCCCACGAGTGCGAGAGAGACAGAGCGACGAGAATGACACTCGGCGCTGTGCGCGTGGCTCGGCGTGGCTGCTTCAAGTCGGCCGAGCGCCGTGGCGGGTAGGCCACGCGGTGCGCTGCCGAGCTCGGCGGGCGGGCCTACCCCGCTGACTGCAGGCGCTCGCTGCTCCCTTCCGACAATGTTCCAAAGTGTTCGACCTCATTTCAAGCTCGTTTAATTTTTCCAAAGTATATTTTGGCTCACTTTGTCCTTCCGATGGAGCTTTCCAACGCATGCACCTAATGGCGGTCGGCGAAAATGCGGGTCACGTGAAAGACTGGTAACTTTGCGGAGGCGGTGCGGCGCCGTCCGACGGCCCTCGCATCGGCCCTGCCTCCATCGTCCGTGTGCCTCGATCACCGGGGCAATTGATTCCCGGGGAACTTATTACCCATTTAAATGGCAGTTGAAGCGACACGGCCGCACAGGGCCTGCCGGCCAGGCAGCGAAACAGTTACGCTTTCGTCGCTCTGTCTCTCTCGCACTCAAGAGGCGCCGCGTGAGGGTGCGAGGGAGGCAGAGCGACGACGCGGCGTTCGTATTTCGCGTGTGGGCGTCCCCCTCCCCTGGCTACGCCACTGCCGTCGCCGCCCCGCGCGCCGCCACCGCTTGTGAATATTAATTCACTTAATGCTGCGCCGCCCTGATGTGTACACAACACTGCGTCGCGTGTTGGTTCGCCGCGCCGCGCAGCGCCGTCTGTCACGCCCGCCGTCGTCACGGCCTTCACACCCTTGGCGTCGTCACGGAGGTGGTGGTTGCGTCGCCGACTGGCACGCCCTCGCCGTCGTCACGCCTGGAAATCGAAACGCTACCTGTCACGTTCACATCTGCTGCCATCACCACCTTGCGGTTTCCTGCTGCACACCCTCGCCCCCCCCACCGTCCACCCTCCTTTCCCCATTCTTCCTTGCCATTGGCACACCCTCGCCGTCACACCCTCACCGTCACACCCTCACTTTCACACCCCCGTCGTCACACCCTCGCCGTCACACCTTCACCGTCACCGTCACATCCTGGCCGTCACACCCTCGTCGCCACGCCCCCGTCCCGTCGCCGCCGTGACGCCATGATCGCACACGACCTCCGCGGCGCTGCATCGCCATGTCAACACCGCCACCCCTTGGCGGCCCCTTACTTGCCTCTGCGTTAATTTCGGCCTGATTATTAATTTGCTACATTACTGCCCTATTGTCTGTCCCCTCCCTCCTCCCCTCCGCCACGCCGCGTCTGGCCGCGCGTCCAGGGAAGGGCCAAGGAAGGAAGGCATGAAAGGAAGCGCAGGAAGTTTTTGTTGTCCGTCCGTCGGGCCGAGGCGGACCGAGTTGTAAGCCGCGAGGAGACGGCGGCAGCGCGGCGGCAGCGCGGCGGCAGCTGTAGAGGAGGACATTTGGGGGGCCTCCGTGCTTTTGTCTAGCGCCATCCGAACAGAGACGAACAGACAAGACAGACAGACAAGACGCCCAAAAGATTTGGTGTGGTGGCGGTGACGACGTGCGCCATCTGGTTTTTTGTTGTTTTGCCGCCCTTTTTCGCGATGCCGCGCAACTTTTTGACGGGTAATGATGGTGGGCCCTGCCCGGCCCGGCCCGGCCACTGCGGCGAGGACGGCGAGGACGCCGCGGCTCTATCTGATGGCGGGGGCATTCGTCACCGGCCGGGGAGTGTACTACACCGTAACACACCGCGGCGCGCGCTGCCGCCACGCCAAAAGAACGCATTTCATTTTCCCCTCTTTTTGTTTCAGAGGGGTTCGGACGAGCTGCTTTCCCAGACGGCCGCCGTCAGCAATGGCAACATGATGAGCCCGCAGGCCAACCACGCGGACAACAACAATGACGCCAAAAAGGTGAGTCCTTTCTCGTCTTTAGCGACGCGTCCATGAGCGAGCGCGCAGTTTCCACGGAGGGAGCGGAGCCTTTCAGTCTCTCGGCCCTCTGCTTGCAGTGCGGGAGGTATTAAAGGCGTGTGGAGGTCGGCTTGGGCTTGGACGCTCCGAGAGCGAACCCAGAAACCCGCAAACTACTTACTCGCTCACGTGGCCGAACCGAACGACACTCTCAATGTCCTAGGATGAAATTTCCCAGCGCTTGCTTTAGGTTAACGAATTGCTATGGGCGTGGTCAATACAGATGGAATAGTTACAAACCTCGGGATTGGGTTGGGGGCACCGAGGACTGCACGCGCGGAGTGCGGGAAGGTTGGTTGGCCGTCGAGCACTGCTCGGTGTCGGCGAGGACCGAGGACGGTGCGCTGCGCGCCCGTCGTCCTCCAGCGCGTCGTCTTGTCTCGGGGGACTCTGGAGGTGTGGGACGATTGGCCGTGCTGGCTGCTGGCTGGCGCGGGGGAGCTCCGGGCCTTCCCGGGACCATTCTTCCTCATCCCTCATCTCTCTCTGTTTGCGTGTGAAGTGTCGATATATGTCTCCCCGGTGCGCGCTGAATCAAACGGGTTTTGCCCCCCCGACGGCCGCGCCGGCCGGCCGGATTATATTTTGCATTAATGTATAGACTTTCGCGTACGTCTCCCCTGCTGCATATAAACATTCGTTAAGCCGCCTATTTATCCTCGCGGAAGGCCGGAAAGGGTGGGCGAGAATACATTGTGCGCGTCGTGTGTGGCTTTCGCTTTGGCCGCGGTGCGCTCCGCCCGCCGTTCGCTTCGACGCCGCCGGGGCCTGCAGGGCCTGCAGGGCCGTCGCGGGGCCGCCGAGGAGGGCCTCCGAGCGGCCGGCGGCGCTCCGCAGCGCGGCGGGGCGGGGGCTGATTTGAATAACTACCTCGTCTCTCCCTCACGGAGCCCCCCCCCCCCCCCCCCCCGTGTGGCGGTGCCGCCACTGCACCTGTCTCACCCTCACCCAGCCATCAAGAGCCGCGCGCTCGTCTCCCCCGTGGGTCGGCCGGCCAGCCAAGCCAGCGGAGCCAGCGGGACGTGTTACTTAACAAGTGTAGTGCCCCTCCCCCCCCCACTCGCACCGAAACACCCCGCCTGAGCCCCGCCTGCCCGCACGCTGACCCAGTGGCCGTCACCGCCCTGACACGTTACGAGCCGCGCCGCCTTTTTCTAGAAAATTAATATCCTTAACGAGCTGCTCCTTAAAAAGAACAACAAAACGTGAGAACGGAACGGAACCGGGACGCTTGCCCGAGAGACCCCACAGCAGCGTTCGCCGTATTTCCGTGCGGTTTCCGTTCGGTTTCCGCGGGAAAGACGAAAAAAAGAGCAGTCGTTAGCTTATTTCTTTTCTCGGAAATTGAATCGCTGTTGTTCATTGTGTGTGTGTGTGTGTGTGTGTGTGTGTGTGAGAGAGAGAGAGAGAGAGAGAGAGAGAGGAGAGAGAGAGAGAGAGAGAGAGAGAGAGAGAGAGATTTTCGTGTGTATGAGTGAGTGTCTGCACTCTGTGTGCGTGTGTGTGTGTGGTCTGGCAGTAAATCGGGCGCGTGCAATAAGCGAGTGCAGCGGACGGCCGCGCACCGCAACGTGGCAACGTGTTTAGCGCGTAATCTGGCTGGTCCGGCCAGAAAGGCCAGAAAGGCCAGCGCGGCCGCCCGGATTATTCACCACCCTGCCAGATTGCTGGTGCGCCGCCTGCGCGGCCTGCGCACAGACTTGTCTCGGTTTTCCACGTCGATATTTAATGCGGCGCCCCGTTTTAGCTAAACGCGACGGCGTCTCTAAATCTTCTCTGTAAATTAGGGTTTAATTTGGAATTCAGCCTTGAGAGCGGCACCGCCGTACCGCACCGCCGCCGGCTGGACCGACCGACCGCGAGGGCTAGCAGCCAGAGTGGAAGTGGGGAGGGGGAGGGGGAAGAGTTAATTCTTCGCCACCTCCATCATTTACAGTGCAAGGCGGCGGGGTCGCTCCATTTGTTTGGCGCGTAGTGTCGGCCGCCGCTCGCCGTCGTCTCGCCGTTCATTGTTTCGTTTCTCCGCGACCTGGACCGGCCCGGACTGGGCCCGCACTGGAGGCGGGAGGCTGAAGCCCGGCCTCTCAGGGCCGTGCTGTTTGTTGTGGGCCTTTTACTTATTAACCGACTTCGGCGGAGGCCGGCAGGACGGCCGCTGCGAGGCTAGCCGCGCCAGCCGGGCCTTTTGCTGGGGCTCCCCGTTAGTGGGCCGTGCCACGCCGTGCCACGCCACTGGCAGCGCTCTGGCCGTGACGACGACGACGGATTCCCCTTGTATTCTTTTTCCGATGTGGGCGCGCGTCCCCACCAAAGCCTACTTATTGGACATGTGTGGTTTGCACCGGTGCTGAGCCGCTTAGTGGCACATTTCAGCCGCCGCTCCTCCTGCCTTCGTCCTTTCCGCGTGGTGTGTGTGTGTGTGTTTCTTGTTTTTCTTAGCGATTCCCTGTCCCTAGTCTCCCGCGCCCTTGGCATAGTTTTGGCTCACACGTGTCTGTCTGGCTTTTGATTGCGTTGGCGACCTGCCGCACAGTGTCCTACAATGAAATTAGAGCGATGTTCCTTACAGTGAACTCAGCGCAAGCGTAACACGAGGCAAAATTGGATCATAATCCGATTTTTTTCGGGGGTATTTTCGTCTTAAGATGTAAAGAAAAATCTTCGCAATGCGAAGGAAACGTACTTTCGTATTTTTCTTGTGCCATTTCCTCGGTAATGTTCAGAAGAAATTTCTTCTTGAGGCATTATGAGTGCAGACGGAACCGCAAATGTATGCATACTCTTGCTGCCCCCCCCCCTTTCCCCTCCCTCCGCGCCGCGCGGGCCGGCAGCCAGCAGACGACAAGAGTGGCGTTGTGGGTGGCGGGGGTTTTGTTCCGCCCCGTTGCCACTGGTGGCTGCGTCGCTGCGGCCGCCCGTCTATGAGGGCAACTTCTAACACAATATCAAACTCAAATTGAATTATGAAGTAAATGAAGTTTGCCATGCTTTACAAATATTTCATTTCGTGCGGCGCGCGCTGCTGTGTGTGTATTCAACTGGGGCCGCGGGGGAGCAAGAGGGTGGGAGGGGGAGGTCTGCCCTTCTTTTCGACCGGACCGCAGCGAGCCGGGCCAGTGGGGAAATGGATGAATGGGGCATTGTGGCCCGCCGCGCCCCGCCGCGCCCGCCGCGCCACGCGCGGGGAGTAAAAAACCCGGCGCAGTGACGGTGATATCCTCCCTACCTGCTTGGCCGCCTTGGCCGCCTTGCCGGCTCGCCCTGCTTCGCGATGCAGGGGGCGTAGTGAGCGCGGCCACGGTGTGCCGGCGCGCCCGGCCGCGCCCGTCGGCCCCGCCCGCCTGGCTGTGTATTCAAAGCCTTGCTGCCCCTTTCGGCCGTCGGGCCTTCGGGCCGCCGCCCGCCAAATCATGCAAATATGCCCATCATGCATCCAGGAGTGTGGCTCTCGATACCTGCCCGGATCCCTCTGTGCTTTTCCAGTGGCCCTCCTCGCCCGCCCCCTCCTCCCCACCCTCCCCCCTCTTCGCCCACCCTTTCCCTTAACACACATTCGCCCTCGGTTTCCCTGGACGTGGAGCGTTGCACCTCGACCGGCGGGCTTTGTAGTGGCTAGAAAAAGGGAAAGGGAGGAAAAAAAAATAGCATGTCGGAGGTAAGTGTGTTTTTCGTCCTGCTTCGGCCGATGATGTGTTTTTGTTATTTTGCGCACGGCGCGTTTTTCTGTGTCGCAAACGCCGCCGTGGCGGGCAGCCGGTGGCAGAGCAGCCCAGCCTTTACACGTGTCTGCGAGCCGTTTACGCGGCACCCCTTTCTGCCCGCCGACTGCGAGCAAAAGTTACGGACAAAGTTGCGCGTTCGTTCTTTTTTATGGCCGCCATGATGAAACAATCGGTAGTCGTGCGTATTCACGCGCACAACGGGGCAAGCAGAGCAACCCCTAAGTGCCGTTTTGTTTTTCATGCTGTTCATTCATCTCAAGTCCACGACAGCACCTTGATAGTAATTCAAGTGAAGTTTGAACCGCGAACAACACTTCAGCGCAGTGTGGTGGCCCTGGACATCGCACAGTGTGGTGGCCCTGGACATCGCACAGTGTGGTGGCCCTGGACATCGCAAAGTGTGGTGGCCCTGGACTCTGGACGCTGCGACGGGACTTCGGTCCGCGCGGCGACGTGTTGGCGGTTGTACTATGTCGCGCCGAAGTGGAAAAGTTTTCCGGTGTACTTATCAAACTCGGACGGAGACGCACCGGGCCCTGCCTTGGCGCGCCGTCATCGAGAGTGGATTTTCGCCGCGTTACAAAGACTGTGAAACTTCGCCAAAGTGCCCCCATCCATCCCCATGATAAATATTTGTTAGTAAAGCGGGGCGGTGCGGCTCTTTTGCTCTGCCCTACCTGTTTGCCGGTCCGTCTGTCCGTCCGTCGGCTCGTCCGCCCGGCTCCCTTCTCGAACAAAGCAGTCTTTTGATTCCCATGCGTTCTGTAGCGGCGGCCCTGGCGGCGGCGGGGCTGCCCACCTCGCTGCCGAAGTAATATCCTTTCTCCGGAAGCAGGGGCCGCCCGGCAAAAAGAGTGAATCGCGTTATGGAATCGGAGCGGCCAGTGCCAAGGCCAGTGCATCGCGGGCGCACGCGCTGCGCCCGGCTCGGACCGGACCGGCTCGGCTCGGCTCGGACCGAGGCTCGGACCGCGCTGGCTCGGACCGCGCACTGCGTTCCGCCCGGCAACCCCCGACAACCCCCGGCAGCGCGGACGCCCAGGCCGCGCCGCGCCACGGCACGGCTCGGCGCATATGGGCAAGGACTTTTACGTGTGCGGTATAAACGTTTCATAGCCCATATTGTCGCCGGCAACATTCGTAAGCCTGAGAGGCCCGCTGGCCGGGCGGGGCGGCCGGCCGGCTGACTTGGCAGTGCAGGTGCCGCGGTGCGGCGTTGCCCGGCGTTGCCCGGCGTCCTCTTGATGATCCAGCTTAGTGGTCGTTGCGTGCGGCGCTGCCTCGCTGCTTTTAGGGGCCGCCATATGCCTCGCGTGATTTCGCCGCGGACGCGCGGCCGTGCGCTGCGCGGGGCCGGAAGCTGCGTGGGGCGGTCCGTGTGGCCCGGCCCTGCCGTGCCCTGCCTGTCCTGCACACTGCCCTGCACTACCCTGCACACTGTGCCCTACCCTGCACACTGCCCTGCCCAAGTCAAACTCACGAATGACTTGTTCCTGCATTCACAGAAAGCTCAAAAGTTTCTGATTTCTTATCCCACAACCGGCGGTACAAATGGTGTGCAGACTCGCGTGGTGGTCGCAAGTTGTTTCCTCTCCTCCGCCGTGACGCGAGCCGTGGTCGTTTAGGCGCGGTGCGCGCGGTGCGGTGGGCCGGGCCGCCCCCGTGTCGCGCTGGCGCCGCTGGCTGCTGCGGGTTAGTGGCGGTGCTCCAGAGGAGCCTGGCTCGTGCCCTCCGTGCCCGGTTGGCGGGGGCCTGGTGGTGGAGAGTGAAGTGGCCTCGGGAGTGGCTCAGTGGGCCGTCCCGTCCCGTAACCTGCTCCGCGGAGAGAGGGTCAGCCGTGCGGGTAGGCCGGCCAGTAGCATGCCTGCGCCGCGGGACTGCATACTTGTAGGCTGTTGCCCCCCATTCTCTCTCTCTCTCTCTCTGCGCGCCAGCACACTGAACAGTGGCCGCCGTGTTTGCGGTGCTGCCCGAGGTGCGGCCCCCTGCTGGAAAGTGGCCGGCCGGGGCGCCCCGCCGCGGAGCGAGAGAGAAAGAGGGAGCGCGGCTCGTTTATCAGCCTAATGTGCTCATCAGGCTCTCACCTTACACCGCCGCCCTCCGCGCGGGGACGCGGCCTGGGACGCGGCGCGCGGTCCGGGGGCGGGCCGGGGGCGGTCCGGGGGTGGGACAAAGACGGAGAGAGAAATAAAAGCGGCTGTTTGCGATTGGCCCTGCCTGCAGACTGATTCCGAGGGTCGTTTTCGTCACTCTGGCTCTCTCGCACCCTTGGGTGCTAGGGACTCAGAGCGACGATAACGACCCTCGGAACCAGTCTGCAGGCGATGTGTTTGCGCGGTGCTAGTCCCGATACTAATCACGCCGGGCTGCCTCCCGCCGCCGAATTTGCACGCGTGTCCCGCTGACACTGCACTGGCGGCCGTCCTGTAGGCACGACTGGCTTCAAAGGGAATGAGTATGTCGACGAACCGCGGCACTCACAGCCCTTTGTCTCGTCGCACAACACATTCCTTCGTTCAATTTTTGAACATGGTTTCGGTCTCGAGCAATTTCGCGCATGCCTGCTTTTCGTACAAAATTATGGACAAATTCTTCGTTTGTTTAATTAATTTTTTTCGGAGAAAATTTTGCACTCACAAAGCTATGTGAGACCCCGCTTTAAGAAAGTACACCTCTTGTGGAACGCCCCACGACGATAGACAGCGCTGTCCGGTGTGGCAGCCTTACGCTGCTCCCCGATGTGTTCTTTTCATTTTCTGTTACAAATTAATGACGGCCCCAAGACTGCCGAGCCGAGTGATTCAGAAAAGTGGTGTTTGGACGCTCTGTCTCTGTCGCACTCATGGGGACTAAGGGTGCGAGAGAGACGGAGCGACAAACCGATCTCGTGAATCGCTCGGCTGGCCGCCACTTGGCGGCGTGCCGTCTTGTCTCTCCGCGTCAATGGCTGAGCCGCCGCGCCCCCGCGGCCCTCGGCTCGGCTCGACTCGACTCGCTGTTGAGCGCTAATGAGCTCTGGGATCAAATCGGCACGGCTTATACTTAATGAGCGTCTTCTTTGAGGCGGGGCGCGGACAGGCGTCGCGCGAGCCGCCGGGAGGCTGGCAGGCTGGCAGCACGCTGGCAGCACGCTGGCAGCACGCTGGCACGCTGGAAGTGCGCCGCGTCGCCGCTTCGCCTCGTCTCGCCAGGTGCGCAATCAAACGGCGTGCCGCGCGCGACGCGCCGAGCGACGCCGAGCGACGCCGAGTGACGCCAAGCGGCGCCAAGCCGGAGGCATCTTCTTCACAGACTCACGCCGGGCTCAATGATTTTCTCTCTCTCTCTGTTCCATTCGCTTTCCGAGTTTCCTGCGCGTTTGATCCCCACGCGGTTGACACCAGTATCCGCATGTTTGCTGCTCTCTCTCTCTCTCTCTCTCTCTCTCTCTCTCTGCGCGTGTGTTTGCAGGGCTGATAATGAAGACTGTGATGTGGTTGGAATGTCCCCCCGGGGCGGGGCGTAGTCAGTCCTGCCCCTCCCCTCTCCGCTAGATCCCTGGCGCAACCCTCTTACATTGTTTCATATTCATGAGCCCCCTGCCCCCCCCCCTCCCCCGCATGCGTCAGCTGGGTGGGTTACCATAGCCCTATGACGATCAGCCCCGCTATGCATGACTCGGCCGGCCACCTCCCAATTTGTATTAAGCTTAGCGGCCCCGGGCTTTGCATGGCTTTTGCGGGGCCCAACGGCCCAACGGGGTTAGCGCGGCCGCGACCGTGTTTGTCCAGGGGCTTTCCGGTGCAGGCAGCGGACTGATTCCGAAGAGTCGTTGCCACTCGGTCGCTGTCGCACTCGTGGGGCTTCCCGTGGGAGTTCGAGAGAGAGGGAGCGACCCTCCGGAATCGCTCGCCTGCTGTGCAGGTCAAGAGAGAGAAGCGAGTCGCCGCGTGGTGGACGTTCCAGAAACAAACCTCGAATCAAACTGGTGGCTGCATCAATCGATTGTCCTTCAGACGCGGCATCCTTTGGCACCCACACGTGTTCGTTTCGAACCCTGGTTCAGGACGGAGTGCCGGAAACGGAGCCAGTAACGCCAGGAGCAGGGTGCCGTACCGTCGCGTCTCTCGGTGACAAATGCCGTTCAAAGAGATCCGCGAAGTCGCGTGCGCTCCAGTGCGGACGCCGGGTCGCTGCCGGCGGAGAGGGAGAAAGAGAAGCAGAGGAAGAAGAAGAAACAATTGCGAGGCGAATGGCGCTAATTTGATGGGCATTTTGTTTGCTCCTCCCTCTCTGTCTCTCTCTTTGCGCTCCGCCACTCCCACAGTAATTTGTTCCTCCTTGCGGGTCCAGGACGTCCAGGAGGCGGCCGGGCCGGCGCCACTGGGCCAGCCGTGCCTGCCAGGGTGACTCTCTCTCTCCTTACTCTCGCTTGGTCCCACTCATTCATTCCTCCGTCTCGATGATGTTGAACACTTCAGAGGCCCTCTTGCGAGTCTTGATCCGGAGCTTCAGTAAGCTTCATACACGCCTGCGCGCGCGCCTGTGTGTGTGTGTGTGTCTGTCTGTCTGTCTGTCTGTCTGTGCGCGCCCCTTGCCTGGGAGCACGGTGGGGGAAGGCCTCCTCATACGTCACGGCCTGTGTGTGTCGCGTTGACGTGGACTGGCTTTGCAGAGCGTCGCGGCGGGGTGCGGGGGCGCCGAGCGCGGACTACCGTACTCACACTGCGTGGGGAGGGGAAAAGAACGAGACGAAAAAAAGAGGGCGAAGCGTCCTTGACGACGATCATGCTGGCCGAGGCTGTGCCTGACGGTGTGCTTCTTGTTGCAGCTCAAGCTGGAGAAGACGGGCGCGGGCAAGCCCTCCCGGGTCATCCACATCCGCAACATCCCCAACGAGGTGACGGAGGCCGAGATCATCCACCTGGGCATCCCCTTCGGCCGCGTCACCAACGTCCTGGTCCTCAAGGGCAAGAACCAGGTAAGCGACCCGTTTGTCTCTCGCGCCGGTTTGAGGCAGTGCCACGAGGCCGTCTCATAAACGCCCAAAACAACAACAATGATAATGCATTTCAATTTGTTGACTATCCGCACAGCTCCTTTTTCTACCGCGATTTTTCTACCAGCTTCCCTGTCTTTCGAAAAAACCCCAGTGCATCAGCGCCGCGCGGATACGACCCGACGCGTCGCCGCGTCGCTCCCCCGATGATGAAAAAGGCCGTGAGCAGCAACTCTTTCCTTTGAAAGGCAGCCGCCGGCGGTGTCCTTTGAGGCGGCCGGCCACTGGCTGCGACCCCCTCCCCCCCCCCCCCCCCCCCTCCCCGCGTGCGGTGCGGCGCCCCATTGACGGCGTGCCGCCACCTGCCCAGCAGTGCCCCGGCAGTGCCTGCATCCCGGACGCAATCAATGTAATGGATTTTAATTAGATGGAAGGCACACGCCGGGCACACGCAAAGCAGCGCGTCGTACTCCTTGGAGCGGCGCAGCCGGCAGACTGATTCCGAGAGTCGCCGTTCTCCACCTCTGTCGCACTCACGGTGCGTCCCGTGTGGGTGCGAGAGGCAGCGACGAAAACGACTCTCGGAATCAGACTGTACAGAGCACGACCAGATGACGCGCGGTGGTGGGAGGGGCGGGGGTTGGATTTGCCCCTCCCCCTTCCGGCCCCCGCCCCGCCCCCGCCCCGGGGAGGGAATTGAAACAGCTAATTGTACGGCAGTCGTGGCCGAGGTGGCTGGGGGCACGACCCGCCCCCGCCCTCGGAGGCAGGGGGCAAGGGGCAGGGGGCGGGGGCAGTTCTGCGGAATCAATCTTAAGTGACCACGCTGGGTGGCCCACGGCGCCCTTAAGGCCCGCCACGCCACGCCCCGCGCACTCGTTTTTCTTCATTAAGCATTTAGGACGGCAAAAGTTTTTCTCTGGTGGCGAGGCCAAGGCGTTGGCTACAGCGGTGGTGGTTGGGGGCGCGCCGGGCGCGGGCGATATGGAGAACGACTGTCGATCTCTGCAGTGTGGTGGCGGCGAGCAGGGCGGAGGCGACGCAGCACCGTTCTGAATCGCTCGGCAGGAGCGACTCGCCCGGGGCCATGCACGGTGGAGCGTTTCGCCGTCCAGAGCCACGGTTTGGCCAGGCGGGGCGGGGCGGGGCGGGGCGGCCTGCACTCAGCCTCCACAAGCCGCGGTTGGCCTCGTGAATCTGGCGCGGCCCGCACGGCCCCACTTAAAAGTGAATTCCGGCGGCGGGCTGCGCACGCCTTGCCACCGGCAGTCTCACTCCGTCGTCCTGCCTCCGTCGCTCTCATCGGGCGTCGCGGGCGTCTCTCGGGTGCGAGAGAGACGGGAGCGCCTTCGCCCGGAACGCATTTGTTGTTGCAAAGCAGTGGCGTGCTCGCCGGGGCGTCGGGGGGCCGTCGGCGAGTCGGGCCGCTTGCCGGAGGGCTAATAAAATTGACCTGTAGCGAATTCACTCGAGGCGAGGCACCGCGGCAAGCAGCAAGGAACTTGTTTGGCCGGAGCCCCGACCAGCCCCGCCCAGCCCTGGGCGCACTGCTGGGCTATTGATTGTTTGTTTCCAACTTGGCCGAGGGGCTCCCGGGGCGAGGCGGCGAGTGCGAGTGAGAGAGAGAGAGGGAGGGGGGGGGGGGGACGGCGGCGCGCAGCCAGGTACAGTGTGGCGGCGGTGGCAGCAGGTCGTCCGCCCAGCAAGAATATGTCAGTGGTCAAAAAAACAAAATGGAGGCGACGGGGATTTGTTTGAATCGAGTTAGCAAGTCAGCCGCTTGATAAACCCGCCGGATCTGGGGCCGGCTAAATAATTCCGTTGTCCATTGTCGCGCCGTGTCCGCCGTGTCCGCCCTGGTGCCGCCCCTGGCGAGCCCCGCCAGCCCCGCCAGCCCGGCAACGCGGATAATGACTCGAATATGATAAGTCGCCGAGGACGGCGGGGCTTTGAGCGCGTGTGTCCGCCCTCCCCTCCCCGGTTTCTTTTTTTGGAAAGCGAAAACAAAACTGAGTAACAAAAAAAGGATTGAGCACGAGCTTTGTAATGTGCAAAAGCAGATGGAGTGAAATCCCACCCCGCTGGCCGGCTGGCTGGCTTGTTGTTACTCGCTGTTGGTTTCGGATTGCCTTTGTTTTTCGGGCCGCCTACTCCTCAAGGAAAATGGATATTCAAAATATGCAGATGCGGTCGTGAAATGAGCCGAGGCAAAGTTTTCGCTTCTCATCATCTTTTACCATTTACATACTTCTTTATTATTATTTTTTTGTGTCTGCCTATTTTCGTAAAAGGACGAGATGTAATTTTTTCCCTCCTGGCCAACGCGACAGACAGCAAGCTGCCCGACCTTCTTTTTTCTGTCTTTTTTTTTTGCGGCGGCAGCGCCGCAGCTCGTCTCAGGGGATGTCATGTTGTGTCCGAAGTGTCCCGGCCCGCCACGCCGCGCCACGCCGCGCCACGCCGCGCCACGCCGCGCCACGCTCCCCGTCCAGCAGGCAGGCGCTGATACAGAGGGGGGGGGGGGGGAGGCAAGAGAACTATTGCCCTGACCACGAGATAGCCGCCTGAGAGGTAGGCAGTCCTTGCCCCAGCCTCCTGAATGGTTGCCAAAAGGCACTGTAAGTGGGCAAAAGGTGCTACCTTTCTCCCTCCCCGGTCAGACCGGCCCTGGATCCGCCACTGCCAGCAGATGGCGTGCCGACAGTGCAGCAGCTCGGTGCGTGTCGCCGTGTCGCACACGAGTCGCTCTGATTTTCTCTGGAATCCATTTCCTGCAGCCGCTTTGCCGCTTGGGCTTTAGGGGCCGTTCGGTCCGTTAGCGCCGTGCGATGCTGAAGTCGCTCCGTCTCTCTCGCACCCACGCGGGCCGCCCCATGAGTGCGACGGAGACAGAGCGGCCTGCACCGCCACGGCCCGCCCCGTTAGATTTTACGCCGACAACGCGATGGCATGGCCATGGCATGGCGGGCCGTCTCGTTTTGTGCGTTGGCCGACCGTTTGTCTCGATCGGGGGATGCCAGATGCGACGTCTCTGTTGCCGCTTCGCCGCCGCGCAGCTCGGACGACTCTGGAAACCCCGAGCCGCACACTGCCCCAAAAGCGTCCCACCAAATCGACTTCAAGTTTTGTTCATTCTGACGGCAACGTTACGCAGCTGTGCGCAACTGGAACAGAAACAAAAATGTAAATATGCGTTTTTATTCTAGTGCAACGAACGCTCCTACCACGGTGCACTTTTGTTTACCTGAGTTTCCCACGGGTCTCAAATAATACTCACCCCTAATGGGAAACGGGCGCGCACACACACACACACACACACACACACACAACCGGCGAGTTATTAATCTCGGCTCCTCACTCGATGCCTGGTGCCTCCCTCATCGGACTCGCGTCCTCACTGCAAAAATCCGACTTTGCTCAAGTTGGCTGGCCACAGCGCCGCCCGCCGCCACGCCAGTAGCTCCCCGCTCCTTTTCCGCCGGCCAGCAGGGCTGCAAAAGCAGTGGGCCGAGTCCAAACAGCAGCTCCCTCTCTCTCTCGCACCCCTACGGCACGCCGCGTGGGTGCGAGAGGGACAGAGCAACGAAAGCACCGTTCGGAATTCATCGGCAGTGCAACGGCCGGCGGCGGGCTGAGTGGCAAGTCACAGCCGGATTACTCGAGGAGAGAGAGAGAGAGAGAGAGAGAGAGAGAGAGAGAGAGAGAGAGAGAGAGAGAGAGAGAGAGCGCCTGCAACATTTTTGAGCCGGTGCGCGTGGCTGCGCGCTCCCCCTGCTTGCTTGCCGGGCTTGCCGCGGCGGCGACAGCTTGGCCGCGCGGACTGCGGACCGGCAGCATGGCGATCCTCTCGGCCCGGAAGGGACGCGAAGGGACAGCCGGAGCGCGCCCCGCCACGCCCCGCCACGCCCCGCCACGCCCCGGCCCCGCCCCCCTCGCGAAAACTTGCTGCAAGGGCCTGGTGACTGGAAGACGGAAAGGACAACCGATTCGTCTCTCTCTCTCTCTCTCTCTCTCTCTCTCTCTCTCTCTCCCTCTCTCTCTCTCTCTCTCTCCCTCCCTCTCCCTCTCCCTCCCTCTCTCCGAGAGCCCTTTCCCTTTCTCTGCCCCCGCCGCGGTCCTTTGGCGGCCGTTTAAATGGAAGAACTGTTATGGACTTATGGTAACGAGTCTTCATCACGGCACCGCGACGACGTCTCGACCGCACTCTCTGGGCTCTTCACCTCCTCTTCTTCCTCACCGCCCTCCTCTTCCTCCCCCTCCTTGTCCTCAGCGTGACAGGCGGGAAGAGCGCGGAAAAGTAAAAGGCGAACAGGAAAAGTTTTTGGCGAGGGAATAAAAAGGGTCCGGAATGAAGTGGGTGGGCTGCCGCGCCTCGCAAGGCGTGCCGTGAGCCGCGGCCAGTAAAACGGACGCGTTTCACTGGCCGAGGAGCCGCCTCGGGTTCGACTCCCGGCGGCGGCGGCCCGAACTGCAGTGTCTCGTCGCGCCGTCTCTCTTGCACTCCCTCTCGGGGCCCTGGGCGGGAGTGCGACCGAGACGGCGACGCCGGTTCGGATTGGCGCTGGCCGGCCGGACACTCTGCATGGACTCCCCGCGTGCCGCGGAGCCGCGCCGCCGCGCGAGTGCAGCACTTTGTCGTTTACGACGCGCCGCGGCCGAAGAAGCGCACAATGACGAATCCACGCGCCGCGCGCCACGCCACTGGACCCCCGCTTTTATCATTTTTCATTCCTGCGTGCGGAGGTTTTCTGTGTGGTTTTTATTTTCGTGGGTCCTTACTGCACGACGCTCCGTCATTCTTTCTGCCCCGACCGCCTCGTACAAATGAACGGACGGGGACGGAGCAGTGTACTCTCCCTATCCCAGCTGGAGTTTCCAACCTGCAGACTCCTGGAGTCTCCCACCTGGAGTCTCCCACCTGGACTCTGTCAGTGGCCACAGGCTGCCTGCGCCTGGAGCAAGCCGCGCATCCCCTTGGGTGT